ATATCATCTAATATTTTATTATTAATATATAAGTTTTTTCTTTTTGCTAAATTTTTAATTCTATTGTTTATTGTAGAAAAAATCACATTTAACGGATAACCATTATTAAGTAAAACATCAACAAGTTCTATAATATTTTGTTCTTGGTACTCAGGATGAGCTAAAAAAATTATTCGGTCCAACAAACTAATTATAATACCTTTTTTTTGTTGGTCTGGATGGGATGATAAAAAACTCAGATAACGACCGGAATTAGTCATTTTTTTGTAATTATCAAATCTGATACAACCATCTTTAATTATGACCTTGACATCTAAAAAATTTACAGAATTATTTAAACCTTTATCGAGCGTAAAATTAATGCGATTGTGGTAACTGTTAAAAAGTTTTAAAACTGTTTCAATTTCATCAAAAGGCAAAGCAAGCAAAATGTCATCTACATATCTGAAATAAATGGGTACAGGAACATTTAAACGACTTAAAATGTCTGTCTCGAGATCTTGTATTACGAGATCTGCCAGGATGGGAGAGAGCGGTGAGCCCATTGGCAATCCAAAAACTTGATTATAAAAAAGGTTATCAAATCTAAAAAATGTTGAATTGAATATCAAGGAAATTGCACTCATGAATTCATTTATAGGAATATTTGTATTTTTTGAGATATCTGACCATCTATTGCTAATACTAGTTAATATTAATTTTTCAGGGATATTTGTGTACATATTTTCTATGTCAAAGGACAATGTTGTGGCGACTTGTGCCGCTGCGTATGTGTACGCAAGTTCCTTGTTGTTGTACAGATTTATGATACCTGTGTTTTCCTTTATGCCTTGTGAGAGATTCTTACTTTGTTTGTAAGATGGAATGAATGATAAAAGGGGGGTACGCCTCGTATAATAACTTTGATATATTTCTAATGTCTCGTGTTATACATCGCATGAAGACGTTCAGAGAGAAAGATACAGACATAAGAAAGCGGGAAAAACTATATCTATCTCGTAGCAGTGAGAGAAACCTTAAAGCTAGAAATTCTCCAATGGTCAGACGCGAGCACCATTGGTTAGCAGCAAGGCATGGGTTATGAGAATAACTATAAGGGACAAAGGTGGCGCGCACATAAACTGCCCCCTTGAAAGCATCTGCTTTCAATGAAATGGATATGTAACAGAAAGTTGAAATAGTTTTACAAATAAAATTAAAAATAAAGGGCAGTGAATATTAGTAACAACAAACAGTTATGACTAAAGTACTGGTTATGATAGATAGCATGGCCTATTCCTTCTCGAATGGAAATAGGCATAGTCTGGTTATGGGACGTTTGTAAGTTCCTTTTGTAGTTCGTACAGTGACGATTCGAGTGGTGCCATCATCGCCAGGGTGTATCTCTGTAATTCTAGCCAGCGGCCAAGCTAAAGGAGGTGTGTTGTCCTCTTTTAGGAGAACCAATTGCCCAATGTTTATCGGATTGGTCTTGATTGTCCATTTATTTCGTTGTTGACAATAATGTAGATATTCTCGTGTCCATCTTCGCCAAAAGTGTTGTCGAATTTGCTCGACGCGTTGCCAGCGCGAGAGGCGATTGACAGCTATTCTTTCTAATGATGGCTCGGGGTACGAAGTCAGTGGGCTGCCTATCAAAAAATGTCCAGCGGTCAGTGATGAGAGGTCAGCGGGATCAAAAGATAATGGAGTTATTGGGCGTGAATTTAGGATTGCCTCTATTTGAGTTAACAGCGTCTCCAATTCTTCATATCTTAAGTGAGCCTCTTTGGTTACTCGCAGGAGATGGCGTTTTGCTCCTTTAACCGCTGCTTCCCATAATCCTCCATGGTGAGGAGCTCTAGGTGGTATAAATTGGCAGTTAATCCCTTTGGAAGAGGCGAAGTCCATAATTTGTTGTTGAGATCGTTGTTCTCTAAATAATGTTGCCAATTCGTTCATTTCCCTATTGGCACCTTTAAAATTTAGACCGTTATCAGAATAAATGGTGGAAGGAAATCCTCTTCTGGAAGTGAAGCGTTTCAAAACGTTTAGAAATACCTCAGTGGATAAATCAGTTGCCAGTTCAATGTGAACCGCTGTAGAAGCAAGACAAACAAATATTGCGATGTAGCACTTTAAAAGTTTGGCTCCCTTTCTAGATCCGTCCTTGTAGTAAAAGGGGCCGGCGTAGTCCACTCCACATTTTTCAAACGGTCGTTCTGGGGTTGTGATTCTGTTTTTAGGTAGATTGCCCATAAGTGTTGAAGTTGTCACTGGAGAGATCCGGAAGCAGGTGACGCACTTGCGTATGGTTTGCCGAACAATGTCCCTAGCTGAAATGAGCCAATAATTCTGTCGAATAGCGGCTAAGGTAGCTTGAGAGCCTGCGTGAAAATGCCTTTTGTGTTCATGTATAATGATTAATTGAGAAAGCGGATGGTGCCCTGGTAGCAATGCTGGGTATTTAGCATTATAGGGAAGGTGAGATAGCTTGAGTCTCCCTCCAACTCTCAGGATTCCAGAATCATCTATAAAGGGGTTTAAACGCAGGAGAGAACTAGTTTTACTTATGTTTTGTTGATTTGAAAGTAATTTTAGTTCATTCTTAAAGTACGATTTTTGGACCATCTTTACAAGGACTTGTTTAGCGTGATGTATTTCGTCAGGTAAGATGGACAGGGTTGTACCAAGTGTTAATTGTGATGTTGCGCTGGGTTTAACCTTGAACCTTAGTTTGTGGAAAAATCTAAGAATGTAAGCTACTACTCGTGATAGCTTCGTGAAGCTTGAATATCGTTTGAACAGTTCTGAGGTTGACTGCGTTGTAGCAGTAGCGGCGATGGTTTTGGATTTGAATTCAGGAATATCTTGTCTTCTTATGTTGAGTGGGGCGATGGGCCAATGCGCCTTGTCGAGTTTTAGCCAAGTGGGGCCTGACCACCAGAGCTGCGATTTTGTTAATTGATCTGGAGAGATTCCTCTTGAAAGGAGATCAGCAGGGTTATACTTACCATTAACGTGGTGCCAATCTTGTACGGCAGTTAATTGATGGATTTGTCCAACACGATTTGCCACAAATGATGTCCAAGTCCGACTGGATGATTGTAGCCATGCAAGAACGATAGTGGAGTCAGTCCACCAATGTACAGCATGTATTTTGTGATTTATGCATTTTGAAACCTTATCAAAGATTTGTGCCAGTAGAAGTGCGGCACATAATTCAAGTCTGGGAATAGATAAAGCCTTTAGTGGGGCTACTCGATTTTTTGAGCAGAGTAAAGTTGTGGAATGAGTACCATTAGAGTCAGTAGCACGTATGTAAATGCATGCTCCGTAGGCGAGCTCACTGGCATCGGCGAAGCCGTGTAGTTCCAGGATAATGTATTCATCCAGCAAGATGACTCGACGTGGTATGGTTATGTTACTTAAACTTGATAACCCAGATTCATATTGTCTCCATTTTGTAACCAGATTTAACGGGAGAGATTCGTCCCATTCTAGTCCAAGACGCCAAAGATTCTGCATGATTATTTTTGCAATAACGGTGGCGGGTCCGAGCAATCCTAGAGGGTCAAATACTAATGCGACTCTTGATAATATGCTTCTTTTAGTTGGTGAAGCTTGAGGCGGTAAGCAGACGATGCTTGAGAATTTGAAATGATCGGTGTTGCAGTTCCAACCGAGACCTAAGGTTCGTGTCTCGCATTCTTTGTCGCAAGACAATACGAACTCCTTATCGTTCTGTACAGATGGATTGTCTCGTATCATTGGTACGTTAGAAGACCATTTTCTTAGTTCGAAATGTCCTTCCAAAAGTAGCTGAGAGGTTTCAGCCTTTATGTTTGATACTTCTTGTAAAGTATCTACGCCCGTTACTAGGTCATCGACGTAGAAGGCGTTCAGTACTGCTTTGGCACCGATGGGATATTTTAAGATGTTGTCTTCTGCCAATTTTCTGAGGGATCGAATTGCTAAGAAAGCTGCAGAGGCCATACCATATGTGACGGTGAGTAATTCGAAAGTGCGAATAGGCTCATCCATGGAGTCGCGCCAGAATATGCGCTGAAGAGATGTTTGATCGGAGTTGATTAGCACTTGCCGATACATTTGCTTGATGTCCGCTGTTAGGGCATATTTGAACATGCGGAATCTAAGTAATATTAAGAACAGATCGGCTTGTATAGTAGGGCCGACGATTAAGACATCGTTTAACGATACTCCGGTTGATGATTTGCAAGAACCGTCGAACACGACCCTAAGCTTGGTGGTGGTGCGTGTTTCTTTGCATACCGCATGATGTGGCAGGTAATAAATTTCGTCATTGGACTTCGTAGGGAATGTTACTTCACGCATATGTCCCAATCGCAAGTATTCTTGCATGAATTGTTTATAATCCGAGTACATTTTTAGATCTTTTATAAGGCGTCTTTCCAAAGATTTGAAACGTCGCATGGCTACCTCCTTGGAATTCCCAATTTGTTTTAGCTTGTCTGGTTTTATAGGCAATTGAATCACAAAGCGTCCTTCGCAATTGCGTGTTGTAGTTTCTTTGAATAGACGTTCGCAGGCTTGCTCTTCTGGTGAAGCTTCAGTAGGGAACGTCATCTGATCGACTTCCCAAAATCTGCAAAGGACTCGATTAAGCTCTTCTGTTGTGGTGGTTAGGCAGCTGACAGCTGAAGAAGGTGATTTGTTGGCGTTTGTTGTTGGACCAGACACAATTCATCCTAGGAGGGTTTTTTGTAGAGTAGGTTGATTTTTGGAAACTTGAATTTGGCCAGCGGAGATGAGCCTCCAAAATAATTCCGCCCCGATTAGCATGTCTATATGTTCTGGAACATTGAAGCTTGGGTCGGCCATTTTTAGATGATTTGGTATTGATAAGTTGTGTTTTGAAATGTAATGTTGAGGTAATCGTTGGGTAATTTGTGGCAGAACTATGCAATCTAAATTTTCAGTAAAATTATTAAAACGAGATTTGATACATACATTGATCATAGTTTTAGCTTGAACCATATTTTTAACTACGCTAGAAACTGAAATATTGATTGATTGTCTTTTAACGCCTAACTTATCTGCTAGTTCCTGCGTTATAAAATTTAGCTGTGATCCGCTGTCTAACAATGCGCGACAAGAGTGTAACTCGTTTTTGTAATCGAAGACGTGAATGATAGCGGTTGATAATATAATATTTAAAGAGCGCTGTGTTGACAAACACTGAGTAACGATCGGTTGTATAGAATTTTCTTTTTCAGAATTGAGTTCAGAATTAGGCACGGATGGTTTATCGTGGTCTGTTGAATTTGATAAATGGAGAAGCGTATTGTGCTTCTTTTTGCACTTGCGGCAAGCGCTCGAATTACAATCCTTAGCGTTATGAGAATTAGATCTTAAGCAATTCGCGCATAGATGAGCTCTCTTTACTACAGAAATTCTCTTTTCTATTGGCAATTTAAGAAATGATTTGCAATAATACAAAGGATGAGTTTCTTTGCATTGGGGACACGATAAATCAGATGTGGCGATATTTGTGACTGAGGCACTCTTTGGCCTTGTTCCAAATTTTGGAGTGTTGGTAGATTGATTAATTGACATTTTGCTAAAGATCAATTCGAGCGCCTGGCAACGCTTAGAAAGAAATTCAGTTAAAGTTTTTAGATTCGGAGGATCATTGGTGGGAAGACTAGTCTCCCATGCCTTGCTTGTTACTGAATCTAATTTTGACAAGATTATGTGGACGATCAGGTCATCCCAGGTCTCAGCGGGCCTTTTCAATGCTTTAAGCGCGCGCAAATGTTTTGAGATGGTATCCAGTAACTCACGCAGTTGAGAATGATTTTCTTTGAGTAATGAGGGAGCTTCGAATATTGCTCTGATGTGCCTTTGGATTATCCAACGTTTGTTATCAAAACGTTCTTTGACAGCGTCCCAGGCGTCCTTGTAATTGTCAGTGGTTGTTTCGATCGATTTTATAATTTCAGAGGCCTTGTCTTTGAGTGATGAACGTAAATAGTGGAATTTTTCTATTTCCGTTAAGCTGTTATTGGCATGTATCAGCTTCTCGAAAGTATCCTGATAAGTGTACCAATCCTCGAAGTCACCTGTAAAAACTGGAAGTTCAATTTTAGGTAGTTTAATGCGCGATTCCCTGTTTGTTGGAGCGCGTGCTTGGAGTTCATCATTTTGCCGTTGCGACGAGAGTACTGGATTGCGTTGATCAAAGTATTCGATAAGTGAATCACAACGCGAGATTATACTAAAATATATATTTTCGAATTGTGATCTGTGCTGTTGTTGTTGAGCAAGAAGCTCATCTTTATTTGTAAGCGATGGATCTTGAAATTCAAGTAGCTCTATGCGCGATTGTACTATGTCAAATAGATTCCATAATTCTGTTAATCTTTTTTTACGCTCAGTGATGTCGTGTCGCGAGCCATTTGTTACCTCGAAATTTTCTATAGCAGTTTTGTGTCGTGTGAGTGAGGCTTTGGCAGTGGTTCGTTTGGTTTTAGCTTCTAATAATGACATCGAATCCATTTTTTGAGGTTACGTGGTTATCAATAAGCTAAGTTGATGCAAAGATATCAACAAGGAGATCACGCGCATGTACAATATATGTGTTATATTGTAAGTTTTGTTTCTACGAGATAACAATATGGTTGCTTAATTGCTGAGGGTATATGTTAAATATGGCTTTCTTACCTTGAATAATTTGAACTGGATTTTATGAAAAAAAAAACGATCTTACCCCATTAGACTATGTGTAGGCCTTATTGTTGTAATGTTTTAACGATAACCTTTCGTGTGAAGAAGTTTAGCGAGATGCTGAATGGTATTCGTGTGTTTCGGAAAATCTTACATCCGGCTCGAAGGACCAAATTTTGTTGTGGCGACTTGTGCCGCTGCGTATGTGTACGCAAGTTCCTTGTTGTTATACAGATT